CCGCACCACCAGCGCTTCCCAAACAGGAAGGTAACCAGCTGGCGGGGCGGGGCGGCCGCGGGTCCCCCTGCCACCGCCCCCTCGGCGAGGCCGGCAGCACCCCATCGCCCTGGGTGCTCCGCTCGCCCAGCACAGACAGGAACCGGACACAGAGCCGGGAGCCCGCGGGCCGCCCCTCGCGGGCCCCTCCGCGCCAGGAGGGCGCTCAGAGGGGCTCCCCGCCGCCCCGCCGCCCCGCCCCGGCCCGGGGAGCGCGGCCGCCGGCGTCGCGGCTATTTCTGGGCGCGGAGGGGGACGGGGCGGGGAGAGGGGCCGGGAACTGGGGCGCGGGGGTCGGGAGGTCCGGGACGGGTCTCCGCGGCCGCCATCCGCCTCTAGGAAGAGAGGCTTCGGCTCCTGGGAACCTCCCCTCCCTTCGCGGCTAGAACCCGGGCCGGACCGAGAACCGGCCGATTCATTCATCCTCCGCGGGTCCCCCGCCTCCGGGGAGAACCGGGCGGCGGCGAGGGGAGCCTGAGACCCGGGAGGTCCCGGGAAGGCGGCACCCGCCGCACCCACCGGCTGGAGGTCCCGGGAAGGCGGCACCCACCGCGCCCACCGGCTGGAGGTCCCGGGAAGGCGGCACCCACCGCGCCCACCGGCTGGAGGTCCCGGGAAGGCGGCACCCGCCGCACCCACCGGCTGGAGGTCCCGGGAAGGCGGCACCCGCCGCGCCCACCGGCTGGAGGTCCCGGGAAGGCGGCACCCACCGCGCCCACCGGCTGGAGGGAGGCTGGGAGAGGGCGGCCCGCAGCCCGGGGTCACCGATTGCGAGGGGTCTGGGGGAAGGGGCTGCTGGCACCCAGTGGCGGGGCGGGGCGGGGCGGGGTCGGTGCACCCAGCTCCCGGGATGCCGAGGGGAGGGGGCGGGGTGCCCCTGACCAGGGTGCGCCCCGGGGACGCAGCTCGCTCACTCGGCGTAGCCCGTGCTCCAGGGCAGGCGGCGGCCGGTGTCCGGGGGGCTCTGCACGGCGCGGCCGGCGTGGTCGTCGGCGCGGCGCAGCCCCGCGGGGCTCAGCTGCAGGAAGGTCGGGCGCGAGAAGCTCGCTCGAGCCTCCGCCGCCTTTGCGGGCGCCGCCGCGCTCCCGCTCGCGCTCCCCGCCTTGGCCGGGGGGCTCCCGGGCGCCTCCGGGGGCACGGCGGGCAGCAGCGAGGTGGCTTCGGGCTGGTCCGGGGACTTGGGGCCCGGGGGCGGGGCGCCCCCCGAGCTCACCAGGTGCGCCACGGCGGAGCGCACCCGGCTCAGCATGCTGCCGCCCGGCCCCGCCCGCCGCCGCGGCCCCGCCCCATGGCCCGGGGCGGCGCTGCTCCGGCCCCGCCCCGCCCCGCCCCGCCGGCCCCGCCTCTCGCTGCTCCGGCCCCGCCCCGCCCCGCCCCGCCGGCCCCGCCTCTCGCTGCTCCGGCCCCGCCCCGCCCCGCTGGCCCCGCCTCCCGCTGCTCCCGGCCCCGCCCCCGCTGCTCCGGCCCCGCCCCCGCTCCGCTGGCCCCGCCTCCGGCTCTTTGGGGGTTTGGGGGGGCCGGACCGGTCCGCTGCGGCGAGGAGGGCCCTGAGCGCAGCAGCCCCGGTTCGCCGGGCTCCGGAGCGGACCGGGGCTGGAACCGCCCCATTGTGACGGAGGGCGGGGTCTCCTAGCGGCCGGGCCGGCCTGCCCGGAGGGGGACGGGGACGGGCCGGCCGGTCAGCTGCTCCGAGCGCCGCCAGCCGCTTCGGGGACCCCTGAGTCCTCGGGCCATCGCTGTCCACTGAGCCGCACCGCCTGGGGCTCACGTGGGTTTTATTTTGTCTTTTAATGTTACACAGCTTGCCCTAAGAGGTCCCACAGCCAATGAGTCACACTCCTGTCTGCCCCTGGGCCGCGGGGCGCGGAGCGCTGGGTGTGACAGCGCCTCCGGGTGGGGCTGCAGGCGGGAGCTGGGTGCGATGCGGGGGTTGATGTGGGGTGTGATTCGGGGGGGGGTGATGCGGGGGTGCGATGCGGGGGTGTGATGCGGGTTGTGATGCGGGTTGTGATGGGGGTGTGATGCGGGAGTGGTGGCCATGCAGGCTGGAGCCGAGCAGGCCGAGCGGAGGCGCCGCTGGCCCCCGGGCTCCGTGAAGACCGCCTGGATCCGGTTGCTTAGCGGCCACGCCTCCTCCACGGTCTGTCTCCGGACCCCCGGCCACAGCCGGAGTGAGAACAGGAATTACCGTAATGAGGACTCTCGCCCTCTGCAAAGTACTGCCCACACATGAGGCCATGTATACCGAACACCAACCTTCAAATCTTTTTTTAATATTTTTTATTGATTTTTTTAAAGAGAGGAAGGGAGAGGGATAGAGAGAAACATCGACCAGCTGCCTCCTGCACACTCCCTACTGGGGATGTGCCTGCAACCAAGGTGCATGCCCTTGACGGGAATCGAACCTGGGACCTTTGAGTCCTCAGGCCAACGCTCTATCCACTGAACCATACCGGCGAGGGCTCCAATGGGTTTTATTTTTTATTTTTTCACTTTACGGATGACGCTCCTGTCGTTTTACATGGCTTGCCCTAAGAGGTCCCACTCCTGTCAGCCCCTGGACGCCCAAGCGATTCTGCCTGAAGAACCGTGCTGGTTTTGTGGGGATCAGGAGGAAGGCTTAAGAGGGAGGAGAATGTTATGAGAGAGGGGGGGTTCAGGCAGAGGCTGGGAGCAGTCCGGGGTGTTGGACAAGTTCTGCATCTGCCATCAGGGGGCGACAGAGGCCAGGCTAAGCTCCCTCACGGGCAGGGGGGACTGGAATCCCGGAGTTGATCACAACCCCCCCCCCCCCCCCCCAGTCCAAATGGAGACAAGGCCCTTGTGGCCCTAACGCAAGTCAGGGGTAGCCCTCAGGGCCACTTGCACCCGGGTCACGGTTGGGATTCCACCTCCAGGCTCTGACCATCATCCTCTCTGTCCGGGGGCTCACCTGTGCCCCCAGAAGAGTAGCTTTCAAATAGAAACCTCACCATGGCCGTTCCGGTTTCCAGGCTTTCTGTAGTGACGCCTGCACTCAGGCCAGAGAGAGCCAGAGGAAAAGAAGTCACAAGAAGAAGAAGACAAATCAGTCCATAGCACGTCGAGCGGCACCGGCAGCTCATTCAAATGGGTTTTATTTTATTTTTTAATTGCACTCACCGCAGCTGCTGCTGTGGGCATTTCCTTCCTTCCTGTCTGAGCCCATGCTCAGCTCAGCGGCATCAGCAGCAAGCCAGAGACTGAGACAAAATATAACAGCCTGGCTATTTTTATTATTCAGTGTTTCTGGGACAGGTTGCTAACCACGACTCTGTGTCGCCCAGCTCCCAATCCCTGGGCTTTGCAGCACCCAGCGGGGTGTGGCCGCACTCGGGGACCACAGGGCCAGGCCCGGGGAGCCCTGGTTCCAGCACCAGATGGTCAGCAGGGATGTCAACAGCTCTCCCGGGCTCCAGAGCAGCCTGCTGGCCAGAGCCAAATCCTCACTCAGGCTCTCCACTCCCTGAATCTCTCACTTCCTGTTCTTGGCATCAGGAACCTCCCGCTCCTCCTCCTCAGACTGACCCAGAACCTGGTGAGAAGGCTCCCTGAGGCAGCAGAGATGGAGAAGGAAAAGGAGGAGCGGGGGTGGGGGGTGGGGGTGCGGGGGTGGGAGAGGATTGTGAAGAAGCAGGCTTGTGAGATGTTCTCTTCTGCTAAGAAAGAAATGAGGCTCAGTGTCAGGCCTGAGCCAGGGAGGGGGCTGGGCATCCTTACGGCCCGGTTATCCAGGCCACATGCAGCGGCTCAGAGCTCAGAATTGAGCTTTTCCCTCCTGCCTTTTCCCTCTCCATTTCCCTGACCCCAAAGCCCTCCTAACCTAAGAGTTGTCTCTCCTCCTGAGACAAAATCACAGACTACCACCTTCTCCCATCTGTCTAATTCTCGTGCACATCCAACATCTTCCCCTGCAGAGATTGCAAAATTGCAATTACGTCGCAGTTTTTATGACGAAGAAACTGGGTCTCGAGGATTTGGTCCCCACGTTGGTGTTCACACCCCTCACTGTGTGCCATGGCGAGAATGTGCTCCAGCGTTTGTGCCCCATCCAGGAGCGCCGAGCTCCCTGCGGCTACTGAGCACTCCAGATGTGGTGAGTGCAAACGAGAATCTCCGTTTTTAAATTTTATTTTATTTCTATTTCTATTTAAGTATAGTTTTATTGATTTCTGAGAAGGAGGGAGAGAGATAGAAACACCAATGATGAAAATGATACATTGGCTGCCTCCTGCACACCCACTCCAGGAGAGTGAGCCGGCAACCTGGCAGCTGCTCCCACGGGGAATCCAGCTGTCACCTCCTGGGTCCTACGTGGAGGCTCAACCACTGAGCTACACCAGCTGGGCTGATTTCTATTTACATTTTAAAACTACATAACAGCCGAAACTGGTTTGGCTCAGTCCCAGGTTTGATTCCGGTCAAGGGCATGTACTTTGGTTGCGGGCACATCCCCAGGTGGGGGTGTGCAGGAGGCAGCTGGTCGATGTTTCTCTCTCGTTGATGTTTCTAACTCTCTATCCCTCTCCCTTCCTCTCTGTAAAAAAATCAATAAAATATAGCATATTTTTTAAAACTACAATGCGGTGAGTGGCTGCAGTATTAGACAGTGCAGTTACAGAATCTCCGAGGCTCAAACGCCCTGAGGGTCTGCGCAATCACTGCTCACACTCAGCGCCCCCACCCCGGGGAAGCCGCACCCCCTGGAGGATTTGGGGGACCCTCTCTGAGGGACCCCAGCCCGCAGAGGGATGTGCGCCCTCCTCCAACCACTCCAGCCGGGTCCTCTCGTCCCGCGTCCAGCCCGGCCGCCAGGGGCCGCTGCGCCCCCGCCCGCTGCCCGGGGCAGGCGGGGCGGCCCGGCGCGGAGGAAGCGGCTGCACGCTCCCTCCCGGGCCTCCCGGAGCTCGGACCCCGGACCCCCGGCTGCGCTCCCTCCCGCGCTGGCCGGCGGCCGCGCTCCCCGGGGCGCGGAGAGGGGCGGGCGCGGCGGGGGAGCCCGCTGGGTCGGAGCCACTCGGGGAGGGTCCCGGGCTCCGGACCAGACAGCACCGGGCTGGCCGCCCGCACCGCCGGGGACAGGTAGGGAGTCCCGGGATGGGGCTCGGGATCGGGATCGGAGGACTGAGCGGGTCCGGGAGGGAGGAGGGAGGGTGGAAAGTCTGTGGTTCCCATCCTCACCCCGTGCTGGCAGGCTGGCCGCTCACTCTGCCTCCCCAGAGCCTGGATCCGGGTAGGGGAAACTGAGGCAGGAGTTTCAGCCCGAGAGCAACATCCAGAAGCTTCTTTTTGTCAGCTCTCTCTGAAGGAGAGGACAGAATGCTAGAAAACCCAGCCTTTATGCCCCCCTCCCCCCACCTTTTGGGTCTGGGGGTTCGTGGGAGGGAGAGGTCGGGTGGGCTGGGGAGGGTGGCAGCTCAGAGAGAAATGGGACGCGGACTCCCCGGGAGAGGAGGAAGCTGCATTTGTAACGATGAAAGGGAAGGCTCTTGACGGGGCCAGGACAGGAGATGCCCCCTCCGAGGAGAGGTCCCCCTAGAAGTTGGGGCACCCTCTGCCCACAGAGCACCCGATCCCCAGGGTCTCAGCACCCCCTCGCCCTCTGCCCCCCCCCCCCCTTGGGTCTTCTCTGGGCCCTCACTCACTCCGGGGGCCCGACTCCGAGGTCTGGGCTCTGGCTGGGCCGTGCCCTCCTGCTGCCTCCGTCCACCTCCCTCTGGAGGCTGAGGGAGGAGGCGTCTTGGGAGGAAACGGAGAGGGTGCTGGGGCGCAGAGAGCTGGAGGACCCCCGGCCGGCCCCTGGGGGTGAGGGTGTCGGAGTTGAGCCATCTCCGGTGAGTCCAGGAAGCAGGTGCGAGGGGGGTAAGCGGTGGCAGCAAAGAGGATTCAGGACCTTGGGGTCCATCCCAGGTGCCCCTCTGAGCAGTGTCTTGTAGGATTCTGCTCCGGATCCCTGCCCTGCCCTGCCCTCCAGCCCCCTCCCGAGGCCAGACAGGTGACAGATTGGTTCTTAGATCCCTCCTACCATCAGCCCTGCTCTCCTCCGGACAGAGGCACTCGCTCAGCTCCTCTTCCGAGGCTCAGCACCCTCCATGCTCCCACAGCCTGCATGGACCCTGCAGGTTCCCAGGGCGCAGGAGAGACTGGCACCTGGGCTCTGCTTCAGAGCTCAGCCCACCCCCCTTTCGCCCTCAGGAGGGCCTGTCACTCCCCCTGTCCCTTCAGCCCCGAAGGACCTTTCCTGCTTGTCCAGGTGAGTGAGCCCGAGGCCCGTGGATGAGCAGACCGAAGCCGGGAGCTCCCAGGAAAGGTGAGTCAGGAGGTCATGGCAGAGGGAGGACGGGGGTGTAGGGAGACCCAGCACCCTGCCAAGGGAGCAGCCAGGCACTGGCATTGGGTGTGGCCTCTGTGCGGGAGCCCAGCCATGCCCGGGGCCCCGCAGCCCCCCGCTGCCCCACGCCTCTGCTTCCCTGGTCCTCTCGGTTTCTGGCCCAGCTTCAGGGGTGGGTTTGGGGGGCCCAAACCACTGAGGATGAGGAGGCGAAGGGAAGGGGAGGAGGGCAGAGGCAAGGGGGTGCAGAGGGGATGGGGCAGGCTTCTGGGCTCCGCGGTGTGCCACCCACACTGCCAGGCCTCGGGCGAGTCATTTGACTGCTATTCACGCCCCCGTTTCAGGTCTTCCTTTTTGAATGCAGTTATGTTTACATTGGATTGCTAGGCTCAAAACGCAAAATGTAAAAGCGTGACAGGGACCTGTCTCTCTGCCTTCCTATCTCCCAGCCAACGAGTTCCGCTTCTCGGTGACAACCAATACCATCAGGATTTTTTTTTTTAACGTCTTCAGAGCTGGCGTATGCATATGTGCACAGCACATGCACTCCCTCCCTTTTACACATTTTACACACACCGCCCTGCCCTTTGCTTCCCTGCCCTCCCTCCCCTAATAGTGGATTATCATCGGAGGCACGTAATCTATTTACCCAAACTTTTCCACAGCTGCCTGGCCGGGCAGCATTTGTACCATGTTCTCCAGCACATGTAGCCAGTCCTTGATCGATGGCTGTTTCATGTGGACCTGGGCTTCCTGAGTATATCGGTGTGCCCGGAGCTGGGAGTCAGCATCATGGTTCCTCCCAGGGCACAGCCCGCCCTGGGACCGTGTTTGCTCCCCCTCCAAGGCCCCTCCTGAATGTCCCCTCCACAAAGTGGTCCAGCAGGACCGTCTCCCTCCCTGCTCCTTTTCCAGCTAGGAAAGCACTCACTGCTTTCTTTCTTTAAAAAAAAAAAAAAAATATATATATATATATATATATATATATATCCTCAATATTATTGATTTTTCACAGAGAGGAAGGGTGAGGGAGAGAGAGCTAGAAACATTGATGAGAGAAAAGAGAAACATCGATCAGCTGCCTCCCGCACACCCCCTCCTGGAGATGTGCCCGCAACCAAGGTACATGCCCTTGACCGGAATCGAACTTTGGATCTTTCAGTTCGCAGGCCGACGCTCTACCCACTGAGCCACACCGGCCAGGGCAGCACTCACTACTTTCCCCCGTGAGTTTGTGCCAGGCTGGGAGGTGCCTGGCGACCAGGTGTGCACCCTGCCCCCCTCCCGTGCAGGTGTGAGAGGGGCGAGGGGGCTGGCGCTGCTGGTGCCCGGGTCCGAGCAAGGCGTGCGCCTCTCCCTGCAGGATGCGTCTGCCGCTGCTCTGCCTGGTCTGGCTGTGGACCCTCCTGGCCTCGGCTTCCCTGCCGCCTCCGGCTCCCACAGGTTTGGGGGAGGGGGTGGGACCCGGGGGGAGGTTTCCCAGGATGCTCGACAGCAGGCAGGTCTCCCCCGGGGGCAGCCGCAGCTCTCCGTGGAAAGAAGGGCTTCCTATCCGAGTCAAGCCCACAGATTGCAGGGCTTCTGGCTGCTCCTCCGCTCTGCACCCCTCTGGGGCCCTGGCCCCGAAAACGTGGGCAGAGCGTGGCTCGCCTTCCCCTTCGGGCCTGAAGGGGCTCTGCAGGGAGAGAGGCCCCGTGGGTGGGGGCGGACCTCGGGCCTCCTGGCCTAATTCTGTGCTTTTCCTCCTGGGATGGGAAGCCCGTGTAAGCGGATGATCCTCCCCACGCACTGTCAGCCCAGGGCCCTGCCTCCCGGAGGGCGCTGGGCGGGGCGGGCTGGCGCGGGCCTTCCTCTCTGCCCGAAGCCGGGAGCGCGAGGCGTGTGGCTTCCCCAGGGAGGCGGGCAGGACAGGGACACGGAGGCAGTAGGAAGGTCTCCCCCGTTTCCTCCTCCTCCCCTGGCCCGGGGCTGGAGGGGGTGGAGGAGTGCCCGGCTGGGGGCTGGTTGGGAGGGGCAGGGCCACGGGCCTGAGCTGGGCCCCTGACCCTCCTCCTCCGCCGCTGGACCCCCCAGCCCCCGGGAGGCAGGGCAGCTGCGAGGTGACGGCCTCTCACCGCTGCTGCAACCGGCACCGCGGGGAGGAGCGCTCCCAGACCGTCAAGTGCTCCTGCGCGTCCGGCCAGGCGGCCGGCACCACGCGGGCACAGCCCTCCTGCGTGGACGGTGAGTGGGGCCGGCCGGGCTGGCGGGAGAGGTAAGACGGTCTGTCTGTTCGGCCTCGCCATCTGCTGGGGATCCAGTCTCCTGCCCGTCTCAGGGTTTCCATGTCAGCTCTGGGGCAGCCTCTGGGGGCGGGGGCAGACCTGACCATGCCACCTGCCTGCGGCCGGCTCCACGGCCTGGCACCCACGGCCTGGCACACACACAGACGCGCCGCCTCACACGGATCCTCTCCCCGCCCGTGAGACTCATCACCGCACGCTCACGCCCGCATTCGTGGCCTCCTTCCCAGGCCTCCCGCACCCGGACCTCTGCCCCCTCTCACAGGGGCACACGGGAGTCCCCCGTCCCTGCATTCCTTCACGCCTGGCCTGCGCCCTTTCCCACAGCCCCTCCATGCTCATTTTCTTTTTTTGTAAAAATACATTTTATCGATTTTTTACAGAGGGATAGAGAGTTAGAAACATCGATGAGAGAGAAACATCGATCAGCTGCCTCCTGCACACCCCCCTAACTGGGGATGTGCCCGCAACCAAGGTACGTGCCCCTGACCGGAATCGAACCTGGGACCCTTCGGTCTGCAGGCCGACGCTCTATCCACTGAGCCACACCGTCTTCGGCCCGTGCTCATTTCCTCACGCTCACCCGGCAGCACCACACACACGCCCGCCTGCCGGTGCACGCCCTCGGGACGGCTGGCACCCCTGCTCCCATTCACCAGGAGCGCCTCGGGCCTGAGCCTTCCGCCTAGGACCCGGCCGCTCAGCTGGAGGGCTGCCTTCCACTCAGGTCCCCCGCCTGCTCCCCACGCTGTCCGGTGAGGGGCAGGGCTCAGTGGGCTGAGGCTGACATGGTTGTGTGCCCGGTCTTTCTGGGCAGCCCGGGTGGGAAAAGGGAGGGAACTGCAGGCCTCACGCCAGGGGTGTGTGCAGGTGAGCGCCTCGTCCCGCACAGACCCCCCTCCCACCGCACCCTGTGCTCCCAGAGGGCTTAGCGCCGCCCCCACTGCTCTGCGCCCGCAGCCGCCATCGTCCGGCAGAGGTGGTGGTGCCAGATGGAGCCCTGCCTGCGAGGGGAGGCGTGCAGGGAGCTGCCGGACCTGTCAGGGTGGAGCTGCAGCCGCGGACACAAGGTCAAAACCACCAAGGTACCCGCCCGCCCGCCCGCGGATGCTGCATCCCCCTCCCGCTCCCCTTTCCCCCAGGACGGAAAAGGGGCGCAGGAGCCCTGGGAGACCTCGGGGTGCTAAGGAGGGACCTGCAAGCCATGCGGCCACAGCCCCAGACGGTCCCCCAGGTCTGTCTTTTAAAATATATATATATTTTATTGACTTTTTACAGAGAGGAAGGGAGAGGAATAGCATTAGAAACATCGATGAGAGAGAAACATTGATTCAGCTGCCTTCTGCACACTCCTTACTGGGGATGTGCCCGCAACCAAGGTACATGTCCTTGACCGGAATCGAACCTGGGACCCCTGAGTCCACAGGCCGACGCTCTACTCACCGAGCCAAACCAGTTAGGGCCCAGGTCTGTCTGGGGTCTGGGGTCTGGGGCCTGGGCCTCTGGATTCGAAATGCCCGTCCTTCTGGGCAAACTTCCTGAGGGCGTCCTAGGCCTTGGTCGCCTCCGCTGCCTGGAGCGGGTTTGCCTCTGGAAAACGGCGGGTCCGCAGGAACGAAGCAGGGAGTTGAGGCAATTATCCAGGTAATTCAGCGGGGACGTTGCTGTGGCCACTCTGCCCGGACACAGGCCCCGTCCCACACTCCCAGGATTCCCAGCTCCCGTGGCTCACACCTGCCTTCCTCCGGCTGAACTGCCTCGCCGGGCTGTGACCCAGGAGGATTCCTGGTTTGCTGCCCGCCCCTCAGGACAGGGGTGATGGAGAAGGCCACACACTCAAATGAAGAGAGACGCCGAAACTGGTTTGGCTCAGTGGATAGAGCGTCGGCTTGCGGACTGAAGGGTTCCGGATTTGATTCCGGTCAAGGGCATGTACCTTGGCTGCGGGCACATCCCCAGTGGGGGGTGTGCAAGAGGCAGCTGATCGAAGATTCTCATCGATGTTTCTAACTCTCTATCCCTTTCTCTTCCTCTCTGTAAAAAAAAAATCAATAAAATATATATTTAAAAAAAAAATGAAGAGAGAGCCTGGAAGAGAGTTAATTCGGGAAAATGGACGCCAGGAGGGAGTCCACCTCTAGGGGGAGGACTACTCTACTCCTGCTCTGGCCTTTGACCATTCCTTTTATTGAGATTCAGAGACAAAGACATCTCTTGGGCGGAGAAACTCCAACAACAGAAAATCAACAAGAATTTACATAGGATTAACAAATTAAAGTGGCCTCAACTACCACTATCTCATCTAGACAATGAGTTAATTCAGAGCCAGCTCTTTTTACATGTTATTACCAGGGACAATGTTCGGCGTCCGGCAGCTGGGCTTGGAGGGGTGGAGGGAGTGGAGGGATGGCAGCGATGGCCTGGGTGACAGGCCTATCCGGGGAGCATTCGTCCCGTCTCTAACCTCTCCCCTCCCTCGCTCTCCAGGTGACACGATAGTTCTTGGCCGAGCCGTGGACTGAGGCCTGGTATCCAGTTACCAGCCAGCACATGTGGAGGTTCCCTTACCTGGACACGCACCCCTTTTCCAGGGGCGTCTCACTTAAGCTGCTCAGCAGATACGGACAGACTGGGCTCCGCTGGGGGACGCAGCAGAGGGTCACGATACAACACCTGCCCTCGAGGAGTGTCCGGTCAGGTCAGAGAACGGACGAAAGCGTGGCACCGGACAGTGGTACCTGGTGGCTGGATGTGGAGTGGGGCATCAGGCTGTGGGCTTGGGGGAGTGAGGAGGAGACTCCCACAGCTCTCCAGCCACTCCCTGGCCCCAGGGCACAAGGACAAGAGGTCCCACTGACCCCCCCGCCCCGCTGCTTCTCTCCCTCCCGCGAGTCCGCGTCCCCAGAGCTGCACGCGTGTTGAGGGAAGACAGGTGTCCCTCTGCAGACCGGCTGCGTCGCCTCTGCCTGGGCCGGCGTGGCTTGCTGAGGGGACGCAGAGAGGAAGCCGAACTTCCCGGCGAAGCTTCTGCAGGTGCAGGGCCCGGTTTGGGCTGCTGGTTGTTGGGCAGGGGATGGATAGGACCTTCAAATCCCCGCCACCCAAGCTCCTCGAGGTTTTGCTTGTTTGCTTGTTTGAACAGGCGAGGAAACAGACCCAGAGAGGGGAAGTGACTTGCCCAAGGTCTCTCAGCGTGGGCCTCCAGCTCTCTGACGACGGACCTTCTCACTTGGCGTGGATGAGAGATTCCCACCCAGCCTTCCGTGCTGCTTTTTTTCTTTTTCTTTTTTTTGGAGAGAGAGAGAGAGAGAGAGAGAGAGAGAGAGAGAGAGAGAGAGAGAGGAACATCAATGGTGAAAGAGAATCATTGATCAGCTGCCTCCTGCACATCCCCCACTGGGGATGGAGCTCACAACCCAGACATGTACCCTTGCCTGGAATCGAACCTGGGGCCCTTCAGTCCACAGGTCGACGCTCTATCCACTGAGCCAAGCTGGCTAGGGCCCATTTGTTTTTATCTCCGGAAGAGACCTTGCTGGACAGCAGTAACATTTTCCTCGGGAGCTCCCACAGCAGGAATCTTACCAAGGTCACTGCTCTCCTGCCTGCAATGACGCAGAATGCCCACACACCCGGCTGTGGGGCCACTGGATCTCCACGCTGCCCTCTGGCCCCACAGAGCCGTTACAGCTGGGACGCCGAGCTGGCAGCCCTGCTGCCCACTCTGGCCCATCTCTTCCAGATCCCCAGGCTGTACCTCTCGGGCGCTGAGAAGGTCTGGGTGGGGTCCAGGCGGGTCGGCCCTTCCACGGTCCTGGCCGGAACCTCTGTCCAGGGTCCCGGGTAGACAGACACACCGGCTTCAGGGACTGAGACCCAGGCAGCCTGGGTAGCTCATCGGTGAGAGAATTCCAGCCTCGGGGACTGCTGGGCTCAGCTGGGGCGGCTGGAATACAGAGTGGGATGCGGAAGGGTCTGGAGGGGAGGGGTGTCAAGACTGGAGGGCGGTGGACAGTGCTGAACTCTGACCCTCAGGCGATGGGTTGAGTCTCAGGCCCTGCCTGCTTCTCTCCCTCCCTCCCCCTCCCCCTGGGCGGCAGAACTGAGACTGGCCATCCCACTCCAGCGTTTCTCTTCTTGCTTTGACGTGGTTTGGTTTTGGGTAACGGGATGAGCAAGGACACCAGCTTCTCACTAAACTGATATCGAAACTCTGACGACTGAAGAGGCTCCGTCACTGGGCGAGGGGGTCCAGGCCAGGTCGGAGTTCACCACCTTCCGGGCTGGGAGTGGTTAGGCCCAGCACCTTTTCTGGAAAGGACCAGGTGATGCTATTTTAGGCTTCTCGCCGCGAAAGTCTCTTCGGTATCTTTCCCTTTGGTGCTTGTTTATTCCATTTGTTTTGTTCTTTGAAAAGAGCTTTTTAAAATGTAAAAACTATCCTTAGCCTGAGTGCCGTGCGGAACCAGGCCCCGAGCTGTTTTTGGGAGGCGGGCGGCCGGGTGACCCTTTGAAGGCAGCCCTCTCTCCGCTCCGCAGCCTCCCGGCCCGCCTCCATGCGGCCGCAACCTGAGCAGGAGGTCTGGGCCGGGTTTGTCTCTCTTCTCATGCTCCTGGAGAGGCCGGCCAGTGAATTATTTAGGCTACAAATGAGACAGCGTTAGCAGAGTCAGACGGTAAGAGCCTGCCCTTCCGGAGGCCCTGGTGTGGGCTTCTCCACGCCCCACCCGAGTCTGTGCCGGGGAGGGAGGGAGCTGGGCCTGTGCCCATCTGCTGTGTCCACACCTGCTGGCTCTGAGCTAACGGGAAGCGCCATCCCAGTCCTTCTGCCCCACCCCCGCCCCCTGCCGCAGTGACACAGCTTCAGTAATGTGGGGGAGGGACTGGAGGGGCTGGAGGTGGGGGCGTTGAACTCCACTGGTGACATTTACCCACGTCCTGAGCTTGGTGAACATTGTAATTTGCTGATTAAAAGTTTAATTCTCGTCTTAAGGTCAGAAAACTCCAGAGAAGGTGCAATGTTGGGTGCGGAGAGGTTGACAGACCTGGGGAGGGGGAAGCCCGGGCTGCTTTGGGGAGGGGGGCTGTCAGGCTGCCGGGGTGGGACTCGAGCTCCAGGGGGAGCCGCGTGGGGTGGACGCCCCCGGCTGTGCCAGGTGTGGGGAGGTAGAAAGAGCTTGGACTTGAGAGTGAGGCCGACCTGGGCTAGCATCTCCGGGTGTGACCTTGGGCCTTGACCTTAGGGCTGATACAGAATTAGTATCACGGATTGAGAGCCAAGTGCCTGTACGCGGCAAACAGCGGTCGCTGGGGCGTGTCTGTGTGCGGGCGGCTGAGAGTGAGCACAGGCCTGTGCGTGAGGGTTGGGAGCAGAGTGTGTGTCTCGCCTGAGGGGTGGGGAAGTGCCCGGGGTGGGAGGGTGAGTGTGGGTGTCCCTGGAGCCGTGACCTCTCTGTAGGGGAGGTGTCCGCAGGCTCCATCCTGCTGGCAGAGGCCTCGGGACAAGCACGGGAGGAAACCATCCTGCTTCTGGCCTCCGGTCCCTGGTGACTTGTTAAAAGGCTTCGAAGGAGAAACTCCAGGCTGGAGACCTCGCCTTTTTACAGTGCTTCTGTGCAAGTGAGGATCCAAAGCTTACATACTTACAAACAAATATATCAGATTTGGCTGATACATCGCCTACGTCTCCTTTCATCTGTAACACCTTCCTTCCTTTCTTTTTTTCCCTAAAATATTTTTTTATTGATTTTTTTTAGAGAGAGGAAGGTAGAGTGATAGAGTTAGAAACATCAACAAGAGAGAGAAACATCCATCAGCTGTCTCCTGCACACTCCCCACTGGGGTTGTGCCTGCAACCAAGGTACATGCCCTTGACCGGAATCGAACCCGAAACCCTCAGTCTGCAGGCTGATGCTCTATCCACTGAGCCACACCGGTCAGTGCCCCCCCTCCCCCCCTTTTTCTTTCTTTCTGGAAAAGCCATTAATCGGTGGAGGAAGCACCATCACGTCACTCCCTGGAGGTGACCGCTCCCCAGACATGGCTAACGTGGCGAACGTGTCACTCTGTGTAAACGAGCACTTGACCCCGGAGCGATGACGGCTGTGGAGGCCAGCTGGTGCTCCTCCGTTGCCCGGGCGCCCGTGTCTGCATGCCCAGCTTGGCACCCGGCTGCCCGAGGACGTCAGCTGCGCCCTGAGGCCCGCGGACCGAGCTCCGGGCAGGTGGGGGATGCAGGAGAACCGGTGTCCACAGGCAGCCATCCTCCCCCGAGCCAGGCCTCCTCCTGCTTCCGCTGGGGTGACGGACACTTCCCCTGCTCAGCCCGCGTTCTCAGCGGTACCTGTGCAGGTTCTCAGCAGCTGTGCGGCCCCAGGTGCCCGTCTTGCGCTCCCGTTCCCTAGGGGCATCTTCTGGGGTCACCTCCCTAATAAAGCACCTCCCACCTCCCAAGTGAACCCTCGTCTCAGGATCTGCTTCTAGGGCCACACGAACCCAGACAGATGCTGCTCCCCATTTTTTGGAGTGAATGCCTCCAGTGCACTGGCTGGGTTCCAGGCGCGGTGCCAGGGGCGGGCGATACGAAGGATACCTCGGGTGCCTCTCATTTCTGGGAAAGAGGTTGCTAATCTCCTGTCATCCCTGCTCCCCCTCCACCAGCCCCAACATCTGGCTCACTGACCAAGGGCAGGCTACTGATGCCTCTCATTCGGCGCGGACAGCGGAAGCATCCCCACAGCTGTTGAGGTTTTAGCAGGGCGTTGGTGACCTTTCTCCACGCCAGGGCCGCGCCTGGAGAGGGTGTGTTGAGATGGGATATTCAGCCGGGCAGCAGCCTGCCCATAAGCTTGTGGTTAGCCTCCTCCGTCTTTTCATTTATTCCCAGGCTTGAAGGCAGCAGATGGGAGCCGGTGGCGAGAGCCAGCGGGACAACGGGGTCTGAGGCTGCCTTCTTTCCCCTTACCACACATGTCAAACACAAGGCCCGCGGGCCAAATTCAGCCCGCCAGGCCTTGCAATGTGGCCCGCACCACGCTGTCATCACTGCACTCCGCTGCGTTCCATCACAATGACAGTTTATGACTGTTCAGTAAACCATTCGGCCCGCGATTTAGGCTGGATTTTAGATTTTGGCCCCTTCTCTGATTGAGTTCGACACCCCTACCTTAGACAGACTATTCGTGTCTGGGGAAGGCGGGGCCGAGCTGCCCTGCAGGGCTGCAGGCCGAGAAGGGATTCATGTGAATCATGAGTCATCGGCCGTCACCGGTTTGGCCCGGCCTGGGCAGGGTCCATCAGGCTGGGGTCCAGCCCAGCTCAGTGTCAGTTGAGCTCCATCCTCACTTTCTGTGGAAGAGAGGGGATGGCCACCTCCCAGCGGGGCTGTGGGGCGGGCGGAGGGGAGGGAGCCTGTGGCACCGCCGGGCACGGGGGAGGGGACGGTGGAGAAGGTGGGCGGTCACAGCCACAGGCACAGGCACAGCCGGTGACCAGCCCCGCTCTCCGGTGTGCCAAGGAGAGACTGAGAAATCCGGTGCCAAAGGGAACGCTGGGCAGGTGACTTCTGGGGAGGATGTCTTTGGATCTGGATCTCAGTAACGTTTCTGAGTCACCCCACTACTGGCCAGTTCACACCCAACCACGCCCAGACCTCTGGGAGGAAACATTGCTTTCCTGCCCGCTCCCACCTTTGGGTCCGTTATTACTCCCCGGTGGGCAGCCGCTGCGGGAAGAGAGGGTGAGGGTGCTCACGCTTTGGGAAGGGGAAGGGCAGGCCGGATGTGGCGGGGACCCTGCCCCAGCGGCTGCCGATCATCCATCATCGAATGAACGGCCTATGTGACTCCCCCGCCTCCGCCTTTGAGGACCCCGACGTTCCCCAGAGTGGGAAGGGGGAGGAGGGCGAAGGCGAGGCTGAGGAGGGCCCGGAGCCTGTGTGCATCGTGCTCCCGGCCCGCTGAGGGCCCAGGCTGCTGGCAGCACCTCCAGCAAATCCATTGGCCGCTAATCTCGCTGGGAGAGCCCACTGTACTTCGGTCCGCGGCGGGAGAGCATCAGGTTTGTGCACACTTCCACGGCGGTCCGCAAAGGCCTCCTGGAGCTTGACAGATACCGTCTTTCAGCCGCTGGTGCTCAGCTTACACTCCTCACAGCCCGGAGGCTGCACCTCCTCCTGCGAAACAGGAGCGACCGCGGAACCTCGTCGTTTCCTTTCTCACTCCTGGTACTTCCTCGGCCGAGTCCACCCCTGGCCCTTGGAACGATGACACAGAAAGGAAGGGGAGACAGGACAGCAGGGCTCCGTTCCTTTCAGTCCTTCGGTCAGTCGGCAGGCTGTGAGGAGGGTGCTGGCAGGGT